AAATATTTTATTTCGTTTAATTTGATTGGTTGACCCGAATTTTATCAGGTCGGGTCATAAGCTTGACCCGACCTGATATTGACCTGAAAATTTGTCTACCTAACCTGGATTTTTCAGGTTGGATTGGGTCGGGTCACAGGTTGACCTGACCTGATTCGGAGCTCTATTTGTATTTTATATATTTATTAATAATGGTTTAATATAATTTTAACTTTTTATAGGATTCTATTATAATTTTAAATAATATTACTAAGTAAAACCTAAATAAGATCATTTATTTTTATATATTTCTCAATATAAATATAAATCATGATAATTATAATAAAATAAATTAAAAAAATCACAAATTAAAAATTTTGAAATTGATGTATCATTTTAATTTAAATAGTCATATTTATAAAATATTGCTTTTATTTTTTTTTTAGTGATACAAATCATGTAATCATCTACTATAAAAACAATAATACTAACCATTTTATGAAAATTAATGCTAGAATTTTTTATAATTTGAATAAATAATGCAAATTTTCATGTAATTTTAAAAAATATTATTATGGTAAAAGATTTATAAAATAATATTAAAAATTTACAAATTTAATTTTTTAAATAATTTAAAAAAGAGAATATTAAAATTAAAACAACATAAAAGTATTAATTAACGTTCTCTTGTTTTATATTTATTATATGAATTAAAAGTTAATTTCTTTAAATTTTTAACAAAAGTTCTATCTAATATGCAAAAATGGTAATATTTTCTAGAACTTATCGTTATGGTATATTTATTTTCGTTTATTAATTACTAAGCTATTTTAGACAAAGGTTATAAATTTTGATATTTATGTTTAATTAAGCTTTTATAAAAATGCAAATATTTTGAAATTACCTTACTATGAATATTATTATGAATTTTGTTGGATTATTTAAATACAAAAAAAATTTAAAAAAATAAAAAAAAAAATAAATTAATAAATAAATTAATATCGCAAACGACTTTATAGCTATTATAAAAATATTAATTGCACGATGTGAAAAAATTATTAGTCATTGAGGGACGTAATTAAATAATTCAAGCATCTTTCTTTTCAACAATACTTGTTCGACGACAAATTCGTGCTAATAATTTTAGATGGTTAAATTTTTACCTCAGGGAAAAAGAAAGACGCGTACATGTAAAGCTTACCACAAGATCTACAAATCACTCTTTTTTCGTTAATAGCATGTTTTTGGACAAAAGAGGGTTTTGGCTCAATTGGGAGACGATAACGAGGGGTTCGTTTATCTAAACATTTTTGTGCTAAATAGGCGAAGTTTCTTTTTTAAATTTCTAAATTTCCTAATATTAATATAAAAAGAGTCAAAATTTGATTTACTTACGACATGGTCTACAAATTGGTCTAAATCTTTCATCTCTAATGGAAAAAGACAAGCTTGCTAGAAAAATCAAGACTATAAAAATGATAAAAGAGAAGTTCATTGTTTTTAGTGTAAAGGTATAAGGTTGAAAGATGAATTCGAGTAAATTTGATCTTTTATTAAAAAATTTGTGATGAGGTTTGTGGTGAAAAAAGTAGGGTATAAATAATAAAATTTTTTTAAGAAATAAAAAGTCTCTTAAAATTGGATCCTTTCTTTAAAGACTCGATTTGGTTGATTGGGAAAAAAAAGACGCAACGAATTATTACAATAATTAAATTTTTAATTCACCTGATCGATAAGAATTCAGATTGGTTTCAATAAATCTTTTGCTATTCCACGAAAAAAAAAGTATGCAAGACAAATTAAATTATTTGTCCAAAACTGTATATTAGAAAAAATGAAAACAATTGATTTTCTAAATAGTAAGTAAATTGATCTATAAATAAATAAAATTTCAGATCACCTTTAAATCCATATTTATCAAATTTCAATTTATTGTAAGATGATAATTGATAATGCTATTATTTGAATAAACTTTCAATGTACTACTATGTTAATCAATATTAACCAATCATAAATTTTGCATTGAAAGTAAAAACGCGTTGACTATATGATTAGCTTTAACTTTATTATGAAAAAAAACTTTTTTGCTTTAATTTGATGTTGTTTTAATATCATTGAATGTAACAATTCTTTGTCTTCTCGAGAATTTTTCAAAAATAACCTGCTAATTTGATGTTAATTCATGAACTTCCTCAACAAAATTCCCATTGTTAGTTTGACAATCAAATAATAGGTTGATTTATTTCTCTTCACAATTCCTATTTCACTATTTTTTTTTTTTAAAAAAAAAAAATTATAACCGCGTTTTATTCCAAGATCAAGAAAGAAATCTCTAGACTGATTATATTTTTACTTATTATTCTTTGAATGGTAGACAATAAAAATTGGATTCTCTCCTAGCGAACAAGCGAATTAATGAAAAAAATATGACAAAAAAAAGAAAAAAGAAATGATTATGATAAAATATCTTCTTGATTTTCAAATTTCTCGCGATATACTTTATAAATTATCAAGTATCGAGGTAAGGCATTCTAATTAAAGATAAAAACAGAAAAGTAAATATAAAAAAATGAATTAATATCAATTTTTTAAAGAAATAAAAAGGAATGATGAATAAAAAATTCGAAAAAATATAAATAATATATATCACTTCTTGAGCTTCGATTACGATAGAATTTGAGTATGGCTTTCCATGTATAACGTCCATAACAAACATGGCTCTAAATCCATCATCATTTAGTTTTAAAGGACCGGTATATTCATGTGCCATAGAAACCGTAGGACTATACCAAAGATACGCTAATCATGATAATGGTAAAGTTAATTTTATTTCAAAGCGAAAAAAAAAATAATCATGATTAAAAACACATACTTCCAGCCAAGTTCGGTTGCGCCTTTGACAGCAAAGGTCCAAATTTCAAAATTCCACAAACACCTGAAGCAAAAATACAGTACCAAAGTCAACAATTTAGCAACTGGAATAAAATCATCAATTTGATAGATAAGAAGGATATTGATATGAAAGTGTTACCACATTCGGAGTTATTGCATAATTTACTCCAATCATCTAGGTTCCAAATATCACAAGCGTGCTTTGTACCATGAAATAATCGTAGTAAATTTGGCTTCTCCCATGCCCACATCATAAATGAATCAAATCTATTTGTGAAAGACCAATCCATTTCGATTTTTAAAATTGAATGAATAGTATAAAATGTAGGCGAAATATTAAAATTGGAAATTATATTTCGATATTCCTCATCTGTTATCGGAAGAGGCGTTATTGTTCTCATATTTATTATAAAAAGAAATTATTTTTTTGGTAAATTCGATGATTAATCCATGAAATCAAAATTTATCGAAATATTTATTAATTAAAAGTACATAAAAAAATTTTATCAATATCACGTGTAATGAGGTGTAACTGCGGTAAATGTCATGAGACATGCTTAGGTTATACGCAATTGACATTATACATTTGAAAAATTCATTAATGGAGTTTAATTAAACATGACCCGAACGTAAACCTAATTAATAAGATAAAGATGTGAATAATTACTTAAACATTGAAAAATGAACGTATATAATAGAAATTGTAAAACTTTACCAACTGTATTTTATAAATTATTTTTGACTCGAATAAGAATACACTCACAAGGTTTCATCGCTACTTGGTAATTCTGACCTAATCAAAACTTTCCAAATTTATTGACGACATTAACAAGATTTATTGTTCTCGTAATACAAACCCACAAAATATAGTTGGCTATAGATAAATGCGAACCTAACATTAATAAAATATGATGCGTATAATTGGTTAATTAATGAAATAATAATCATTTTGAATTAATCTAAGCGTAATGATTATTTCGTTATCAGATTTGGATTGTTCACATTATTAACATCAATAAAGAAACCATGAAGAAAATAATTGGTTCTTTAATCAGAGCTTGACTCTATGTTCATATCATCATTTTTCAAATTATATTGATACTCTATCAGAATTTATCTTATTTTCTTAAAAAGAAATAGATAAATAAATAAATTCATGATGTATAGTCAAAAACGAAATTCTTACCCTAATGATTAGATTCAAATACAACTTATTCCAATAAATACTTATTGTCGACATCTATTAAGGGATCTTTTGATCAATAATAATAATATATTCAAACATCTTGCCGAAAAATATAATAACAGTTGTATAAAATTTATTTCAATGAAGTGGATGCGATAAAGGAAAAAAAAAATTTTTTTTTGATCAAAGTATTTAATATATGATAGTCACATGGTAGTAATGACATCTTGATTGGACGATCGTGATTGGTCAGGAGAATGCATCTCGCATCATCAAAAATTGTTAATACTGCTAATAATCTAAGCAATAATGGGTTTTGAACATTTTTTTTAATTTAAATATTTTGGATATGATTTTAGACATATGGAAGCATTATCAGTAAATAATATTGATTTCTATATATCGTAACTTGATTTTACTGGTAACTGGTAATGTTTCAGTATTAAAAGTATTAAAATTGTCTAACACTGAATTAAAATATATTTTCATTGCAAAGATTTTTTTTAAAAAAAAATATATTTGATTAATTATTTAATATTATAAATTAGAATTCTATGAAAATATATTAAAATCATATTAAAAAATATTAAATTTTATTTTAATTTAATCATTTAAGATTTTTGTAATAAAAAAAATTATAAAAAAAAAGAATTTTTTACTTTATATTATAAATATGATTTTTTTAATAAAAATAAATTCAGATTTAACATTAAAAAGTTTTTTTTTTATTACAAAATACTTATATTTAAAAAAATGCATATTTATTATTAAAAATCAAATTTTATATTAAATTTTTCTATCCCTTCAATGGTTTTCCTTTCAAATTTAGAAAGAATTTTACTTATACTTTAAAGTTAATTATAAATATATTAAAAATTAGTTATTAAGCTAATAATATTATTATAATAA